GGTCTCTTCATGTCTGTCGACCTGATGGGCCAGGTTTCACAGGAGAGTTGAACGGACGGCTGCGTTATAAACTCTGCCCTTCAGGGCGAGAGTAATGTCGCGTCTGCGCCACAGGTGGCGGAGATCGGCAAAAGCACCTCGAGCTTTTGCTATACGGTTCGTAACCTCATCTTCAATCCCACGGGTGCTAATATAGCTGCCCAGGTACTTAAATTCCTGAACGACTTCTAGCAGATCACCACCAAGCGTTAGCGCAGGGTTGGGTCCCTGCCAATCTTGGAGAAGTACTTTGCATTTCGATGGAGCAAAGCATAGCCCAAAACGATTGACAGCCAGTGCTAATCGGTTCAGTGCTGTTTGGCATGTTTGGAAGCTGTCACAGATTAGGGCAATATCGTCTGCATACTCCAAGTCAAGAAGAACGAGATTCGACAGGTTGCAAACGTCTAGAGAAAAATGATAACGGCTGCCAAGCGTCACCTACCTTTTGTTGTAAGGCCGCCCCAGCTTCCACGTCAGAAGCGTCGGTACTGAGCGACAGTGGGGTTGCCGGGTCGTGATGCGCTATAGAAGCTATGTTGGCGATAACTTCTTTCAAAGCCTGGAGGGCGGCGCATGCTGCATCAGAAAAATCGAACTTCTTAAGGTTCCCCCGGAGAAGGTCCTTGAGTGTTTGCATAAGCGAAACGCAACTAGGTATGAAACGGCGATAAAACTTGACGAAGCCATCAAAGCGTCTTAGCCGTTTGAAAGAGCGAGGCTCAAGTTGGTCGAATATTGCCTTACTTTTATCCTGTAGTGGCACGACACCTGCAGGAGAGATAAGATGGCCCAGAAAATTGACCAAATAGACACAAAACGAACACTTTTCTGCGTTGTTCATCACTCTGTGTTGAGATAAACGATCAAAAATCGTTCGAACGTGGCGTAAGGCTCCTCGCGTGAGGAACTCGCGATTAGGATGTCGTCGAGTTAGACATAAGCGAAGCCTAGGCCGCGACAAACTTGGTCGATGAAACGCCGAAAAGTTTGCGCGGCATTCTTTAGACCCAATGGCATGCGCAGAAACTCGAACAAACCAAACGGAGTCGTCACGGCAGTTTTAGCGGTGCCCGCTTCGGCCCTCGGAATATGGTTGTAAGCGCGCACCAAGTCGATTTTATTGAAAACGTTTTTACCTGCCAGACTGGCATTTAGGTTCACGATATGTAGGATAGGATAACGATCTGGCGTGGTTACGTTGTTTAGAGTTCGATAATCACCACAAGAACGCCATTCCCCCATAGTCTTTTTCGGAACCATTTGGAGAAGTGACGCACATGGACTGTTGGATGGTTTTATAATACCGAGCTGAAGCATGTAATCGAATTCAGCTCTTGTGGCACGTCAATTGTCGGAGAGAGTCGTCTTGGTCGGGCACCCGTTGGCGGATCGCACGTGACTACGTGATGAGCGACCTCTGTCGTGACTCGCGGAAGCTCTGCAGATGGTCGTACCAGTCGCGGATATTCGGGCAATAGGTTCGCATAATCTGAAGGTACATCGGTGATTCGGAAAACGGGATTAATTATCGGGGCCTCCGTAAGAACACCTTCAACCCCTGTTTTAGTACGGTCGTCTGAAAATCTGAAGACCAGGATCAACAAGCAACCCAAAATGTCGCAGGAAATCGTTACCGAAGGGTAAGATGCAACCTTGAAGACCCACTGAAAATCTCGGCAGACATTGAGATCCAGGTTCATCATGCGCTGACCGAATGATGCTATCGGAGAACCGTTGGCCGCACGCGGTTTTACATAGGCTTTGATTGCTTGTCGTTCGTTTTCGCAGGTATGACGCTGACTTCTGTTCACGTGTCGATGAGGAACGTGATGGAAGAACGTCGATCCTTAATATAAAACAGGCGATTTGTTTGGTTAATGACGGATACGTTGGTCGTGTTAGTATGCGGATTATTCGCTTTCCATGAAGCAGCTTAGTTGTGCTTAATGTAGGGAGCTCGACAACGTATAGCTCTTCCACCATATTGATCATGATACTAACATAGTTCTTCGACCAATTTGGTATGGTCAGACTGAGAACGTGCGGAAAAAGCTGCACTTTTTGTCAAATGAGACGCACTCGATGCAGGCACAGACGAGCCGCATTGAACGGTAGCCAAAAGGTGGTCAGCACCTGACCGTGGCACCCGCTGCTTCGAAGTCTTCATTGCTGCTATGCTGCTGCGAAGTAGCGCGATTTCCTCGTCTTTAGGGTCAGATCGGCCTGACGACTTGGAGAAAATGAGACACGGTTCTCGTCGGTGAGAATACGTAACTGGAGCTACTGGTCGTCTGCTGCGGAAGACGTTCGAACGCAGCGTCTGCCTTGGTAGCTAGTTCTTTCAGTGACCTATCCAGAAACATGGACAGCATTACCGGCAATAGCTCTGGCGGACGTGCGAACCACAGTTCCTTTATCCATTCTTCGCTCTAGAATAAGGGACCAGAGATGCGTTGTAGTTCGCGGAGCAACGCCGACGGCTTGCAATCTCCCAGCTTGAGACCATTGAGCTGTTCAACTCAAACTCGTGCGCTGGGCTGTAACTCTTTTAGAATCGCTGGATTCATCGTTTCATACTTTGCCTCATTCGACGGGCAGAGTAGAATGTCCTCAACCAGCGTCACAACCGAAGAAGGAAAGCGCGGGACGAGTTGATTTTCCCCGAATGCCCTATTTTATCAAGTTCGATCTCGAATATCGCAAACAAAACCTCTAGGCTGTCCATGGAACTTGGAACAACTAAAGTAAGCATGTTTGCGCTGTGAAACGACTCAGATGCCACTCGAAATGTGAATCGAAAAGATAAAGAATGAACAAACATGATGAAAGTACTAAAATTACGCAAGAAACAAATGAATACATGTATATAATCGAGAAAAAGGAACGAACCCCCCCCCAAATAGGACGTGCGACAAAAAACGTTACATTCGCGCGTGCAAATCGGGGTCACCAATTTGTAGGACTAGTAAATACTAGTCTGAGACGGTGCGCGAAATTAAACGCGGATATCAGAAGGCAATTAGAGTCGGGCGCAGCGGGCTGTATTCGATGGGCTACAAGAAGACGCGGACGGATGAAACGAGACAAGGACAACACGTTAGCGCGGGAATTTAAAAGACGGTCAAGTGTCGAGCCGGATGTAGGTCAACATGGACGTAATGTAAGGGAGATTAAAACAAGCAAGAGTAGTGTACAATTTATCGTCAGCGAAATTGTACACAAAGGATGATAGTTATCTTTTGGGGCGCTACAGACCCACGCAGCATTTAAGTTTACCTGCGAGAAAGGATTGAACGATCAATTGCCGTTTCTTGATATCCTGTTAACTAGAAAGGCAGACGGCTCGATCCAACGGCAGATCTATAGGAAGAAAACCTGGAGCGGCCAGTATACGAACTTCTATAGTTACGTTCCATTGTGATATAAGCTAAATTTATTTTCGCTATCTAACCACAAGGGTCACAAGATCTGTTCTGAAGACACGTTGGATAATGCGTTGCAGTTCATTGAGAATTTGCTACGCGAAAACGCATATCTTGACCGGTTCATTCTTAAGGACATGCAAGACAAGCCCGCCCTGTTGCAACTTCAAACAACAGAGAAGAAAAACTTTTCATACGACTACTTTCAAGGGGGACGCCGCTGTTCAGCGTGTAACTAGAAGCCTTTCAACAGCTGTCAAGTCAACTTTCCCAGCAACCAAGCTTGGGTTTACCTTTTTCACAGAGCCACTCATTCATATTCACAACAAAGACAAGTTGCCGACCCTGACCGACTTTATGGTCATTTAACAGTTCGAATTCACCTATGGCGCCACTTACATCGGTCGAACTGCGCGGCAACTGTCCAGGCGCATTAAAGAGCACCTACAACGCTGGTTGCGTAGAGGTGGTAACGGGTCTATAACTAGTGCTTAGAACTCATCTTGTTGATAGGGCGCATGAGGTTGACCCAATCCGTGCATTTCGAATACCCCACAGGGTCCTTCCACTCCAGCCGAAAGGCTCGCACCCTTGCTACTGCCGAAGCATTTAGCGTTCGGTTGTATCAACCGCTTTCGTCGGCACAAAAGAACCTGATCGAAACTGCTAAGCTACCTTGGCCAGACAAAACGGATCCTTCTGAGGGCAGCAATTACCGTTCAACTACAACTTTGTCCTGATTTATAGTTCGTTGCTGCTTCGTGCCCTTGTTCGGCACGTGACCGAATAAATTTTTGCCCCCATTCCCATTTCACCCATATGATTCTACGGGTCTGAGGATCAATTATCAAAAACAATTGTCTACCTTCGCTCACTTGTTCTTGATATATAACATCATCATCAACAGCAGTACATCAACCATTTGAACTGTTGCTTCGCTGCCATATAACCATGAGGACCTATGAAATAAAGAATGAGAAGGGGGACTTACCTGAAAACCTTAATGCCCTAAGCAAACACTCAGGGTCAAGGCGCCTGCACCTTATGTAGACAACATACCGTCACAAACAGCTGGCTATCGTTCAAAGATAAGGCGGCATCGGCGAGACAGCTTCCTTGCAGTTTTCACTGCCCCACATCATAATCAGCCATTACCCCGCAGATAACTCAGCACCAAACACACTTTAAACAGACAATCCGATTAGGAGACGGCAGAAGACGCGCCACTGGTGTTGGTTGCGAGCCATGAGCCAAGCACAAGGCGAGTCACGTGGACTCCAGCCCGGAAGGCGAGACGGACCAATGGCACCCAGTTTGGTCGTCAGTAACTTCATTTCCCGCTGCCAAGTCAACTTCTGTCCACCTCGAGCCCTGTTCTACCCTACACCTCGTAGACTAAACAAGGCTCTCCTAGGTAAGCGGCGAGAAGCCATACGTAGCACGTGCCCGAGCCAACGCAACTTATTCAGTGCTATCTATTGTTCTGAGGAGCTAGTATGATTACCACCACCTAGTACTCGCCTACGCACATCATCGTTACGGACACTGATGCCATCCGACACCAGCAATGCTTCGCAGACAACGATGATCAAAGACTTGAAGACGCCACAGATCTTCAGACCGAAGGGGCAAAGTCTCACTGCCATAGAGTAGGGCGGCCCTCACCGTGGCCTTGTATACACGGCCTTTCAGACGGACGGAAATTCCCTTCTGTCGCCAAAAATGCCGCAGGTTCAAGAAGCCAGCTCTGGCCTTTGCAATGCGTGAGCTGACGTCAGTTTCTATGTGCCCATCGTTGCTGATGCAGCTGCTATGATAAGCGAATTGATCAACCACCTCGATTTCCCCGTTAGCAGGCGTCAAGGATTCATACAGTGGCTGGTGGTCCTGCAGCAACATTTTGCACTTTGAAGGTGAGAAGTGCATACCGAATAACGGGACCACTCTAGCTAGGCTATTCGGGGTTGATTGTGATGCCGCAACAGCGTCGAAAAGCAAGACGATATCGTCCGCATAGTCAACGTCAACTAATCTTTCGCCAGGCAACACCTCAACGCCTACATCGTGGGGTTCCGCAAGGGAACACTCCATGATAGAATCCACAACGAAATTGAACAAAAATAGAGAGAGCGGACAACCCTGACGAACGCCAATTGTGGTCGGAAAGCTATCCGACAGGACACCGTACACCGTGACGCGGCCTGTAGTGTTCGAGTATAGGGCATGAAGGAAGTTCACATATTTAGTGGGAACATGTTTCCGTGCAAGTATTTCGAACAGAACCGATCGATTGACTGAATCGAACGCACACCTGAAATCGAGGAACAGAGCTGTTGTCGGTCCGCGTGGCGTTGCTCTAGCACCTGCCGCAAAGTGAATATATGGTCTATACAACCACGTCCTGGGCGAAAATCAGCCTGCTCTTCCCTACTCCGAATTTCCCTTCCCACAGCGAGGCAACGAACGCTAGTCGAGGCCAGCAATTTTGTCACCCTTGGCGTTAGGCTAATATCTCGGTAGTTAGAACAGTCTGTGCGACTGCTCTTCTTGTATATTTCCACTATAATCGATTCGCTCCAATTAGCCTGGACACCCTTCCAGGTACGTTCGAATAAGGTCAGTGCTTTGCAGAGGACATCACCTCCATCCTTAAATAGTGCAGGTGGGAAGGAATCCGGGCCAACGGCACGAAAAGGATTGAGAGCCGGGATCGCGTTTTGGACCTGGGCCTCCGACGGAGGCTCTAAACTAACTGTTCATCAGGTGAGTAGGAAGAGGTCCGGGAGTAGGGAGTTAGCTGAAATGATCTTGAAAGTGTTCCACCCAACGGGCAATACAGCGCTCCTTATTGTGAATCAGTGCACCCACGCTGTCTCTGATTGTATCGCTGATCCTTGGTTTTCTAAGACCAGTGGTGCGGATTAGCTGGGACAGCTTGCGGGTACTTGTCTACTGCTTCTGCCTCCTCCCTTTCTTGTGCCCGAGTGATCCAGCAGGCTTCATTGTTAGCACGTACGCTCTGCCTTAGTTCACGCCTAATAGCCCGTCTGCTTGCACTATGCTCCGAGCCAGCCGGGAGGTTACTTCTAGATTTCAAAAGGTTCACCGACCTCCCGGATATCCAATGATTGGTGTGGTGACGATGGATAGTGCCAAGCTGATGATCCTGCATCGCGCATGGCGGCCGGGATCTTATTTCACTGAAGCTGAGTGTCACGAGGACAAGAAAGCAAAATTTCAGTACGCAGTGCGTCTTGATAGACTTGCTGATCGATGGCTCGGACAATTTCTCAGTTGCCAATAGGAGGAGAGGCTTGGTGCGCCTCCCGGTGAAGTTCATGGAGAAACGATAGCGTACTAAGGCATGATCAGAGTCGACACAGGTACTCCAGTACGAGCGGCAATCCAGCATGGAACCACGCAATTTGTAACTTATGGCTATGTGGTCAATCTGGGTCCATGGCTGGCTAGCTAAAGAAGAAAGCCAATTGGCACTTCGGCGCCCACTGTGTCTAAAAGCAGTGATACTAAGAAACAACTGGTGCTTCTCACACATTTGCAGCAGACGCCTACCGTTGTCAGCCGTTCGGAGTTAAGCCCATAATTACCACCCACCTGAGCTTCTGAAGAGCTGACGCCCTACTTGTGCGTTCATATCCCCTGCAAGTACTATAATATCCGAAATAGTAGCACTGCGTAGTAGCGCGTTCAGTTCGTGATAGAATGTCCTTGAGAGCATTTGCACTGTAATCCGTGGGAGCGTAAGCGGGAATCACAAACAAGCAGCGTTTTGTACTACTTCGTGAATCCACCTTAGCTGATGTCGTCAAACGGGCTGCACATAAACTGCTATTCACCGGAATTCAATCAAGCAACAATGGGTCAGCCTTGGGGCTTAATAGAATACCTACACCAGCTTGACGCGTGAGTGCTGCATCGGTGTCTTCGGATGCGTGCAACCAATAACGAGAGGATAAGCCGGGTGCAATTAATTCAATAACCCCGTTAAGGTCCTTGCTCCTAGTTTCGGACACACAACACACATCAATACCCAGTGTGTCCAAGGTGCGTGCGAGTGCAGCCTGTTGACCTGTTTGTCATAGAGTGCGCACGTTGAACGTAGCCATGAAAACAGGACAGCGTGGCCTTATAAGGGAATTTTGCCGACAGACGTCCGATAGGTGCTGTGGGATGGTGGCTGCAGACGGTTCTACTCCAGTGGCATTTCGGTTGCTGTCAGGTAAGCTGGGAATTATAGAAGGAAGGTTAGTAATGGGGATCGGGATGAGAGTAAGAGAAACAGGTGGAAAAGAAAGAAGGGAGGCGTCAGCAGTAGCATGTTTTCGCTTATCCGCCCTTCTGTATACAGCGGATAAGGCGACCCTTGATAGTCTGTGCGACGGCAGATGTAGGATGATGTTTATGTTAGGTATATATGGTTTGCGGCATCCGTTTTCTGATTTACCACCGCCGACAGAGGGTTGATGGGTCGCTTGCACTTCACCACCTACCGCTCCATCCACACACCCCGTATCCAGTGTAAACCCGAAAGAATAACGTCGAGAGGCAAGTGAATGAGAGCCACGATTCAACGGAGCTTGCCCACCCTCCTTCACAGGCAAACAAGCACGCTGTACTTGGGTATCATTCACACCCAAGGCGGTGGTCGGACTGTAGTGCGCTCCACACTGAGTTCATGGAAGGACTCTTCGAGCTGAGCATGGTCACATGGACGGTGCACCTTTTCCTCTTCAGCAACAGCTAACTGTTTTCTGGAGCCAGTATTAACGATTTAGTGGTTGATAGACAGGTAGGCGCCTTGTCAACATGCACATCGCGCGCAGTTACACCGGGGATATCAGGCAACAGCCAGTCACTTTAAACGACGATATCAAGTAAAATAAATCGAATAAGGCATACGGATACAGTGACATAATTCTTCACTTAAAGAGCCTATGAAATAAATTGGTTGCAAAGAATTCGCGAAAGGTTCAAAATGTCTTAAGAGAATGTTATCAAAATTAACTACAATTAGCTTCAATGACGTGTGCAAGTTTATAGAAGATAGTACAGGTAGACATTAATATGAGATAAAAAAAGCATTAGGGATATATAGCAAACCCACCACCTGAAATAAGGAGACTCTGCATGCAAGCACCCGGTTTTTAAATCGAATGTATCGTACCTACAGACGCTGCACCGGTTCTGTCTACGTTCTTTGCAGGACTCGTCGTTCTTCAGTGGTGGCCTCGCTCATGGTTCATTAGGCCTGCCTGACTCAAGCACTCTCGACCTCATGTGCTACAGCACAGTGTGCTCCGGGCTGAGTGAGCGCCCACTGAACACCGTCCAAGATCACTGGTCGCATATTCGTCAAACGTTACTATCAGCAGGCATTTCTTCATGTGGCAAATCAATTTGCCAAACTGAACATTGAGTCTCTACATAAACTCTGGAACCTATGGTTGCTCACCGATGTATTCCGGCTGGAAGCGCATACAATGAGCCTCGCAAAGGTCTCAGGCCAAAATTGCGTGCTAGCCTGAAGAGAGACGGCGAAGCCTAGTGGTCTCATCGTGCCTCGGAAATTTAAATAGCTGCTACCGTTGGTAATCATCGTAAATTATTCCGTCGGATACGGGAAGCAGACAACAGCGAACCTGGTATTAGCGAGACAATACGCGAAGGTAGTGGACAACCGATCCTCCGCCTGTCGAAACTCTTGGAGCGTTGGGCCGAACACTTTGCAAGGCACAGTTGTTGTGGAGTTCTCCGAGCTGGGCAACTTGGTTGCAAACGTTTCGCCACTATTCGAGGTGGCATCTTCAGTGCGGGATTGATAGCAGTTAAGTAGCAGTAGCTGGTAGAAAGCAAACCCAGTAATGGATGCGGTCAGCAGCCACTCCGTTCCTTATATAGGCGTACGGGGCCATAAATTTTGCCTCGTTCTCATTGGTGCATCTTTGTGTTCAGCGGTTGTGCTCGAGTCATTGTCATTGACTGCGGAAATATTGTTACGATGTGGTTGGGATTTTCGCACCCGGGTTGGTTCAACTTGGTTCTCAACCACGAACCCAATCAACATGCCAATCGACCTCGATCCAATATATCAACCGCTAAGACAGAGGGAGTTCAAGAGGATCAACAACCGTTGTCCGGAAGGACCTAATCCAACACACGGACAATGAACAGCATGGTCAATATGAGCCTAGACTTCTCCCCCACACCTGTTGCACCTTTCCGCAGCCAATGACAATGGCTCGAGCACAACCGCTGAACACAAGGATTCACCAATGAGAACGAGGCAAAATTTATAGCCCCGTATGCCTATATAAGGAACGGAGTGGCTGCTGACAGCATCCATTATTGGGTTTGCTTTCTACCAGCTACTGCTATCAATCCCGCACTGAAGATGCCATATCAAATGGTGGCGAAACGTTTGCAACCAAGTTGCTCAGCTCGGAGAACTCCACAACAACTGAGCAAGCCTCCCGAGCTACCAATATTCCAAATCATTTCGAACTTTGCAAGGCAATTTGACCAAGCTGAGTTTTCGCTTTCTTTTTCGTGCATTAAACGCCCTTCTCCATGGGCCGTTTCCTTGGATCCGCCCTCACGCGCAGAAGTTGTACGTGAGATCAGGCTGTTGAAATTGCATAAGGTCGCAGGGGCGGATAGAATTCTCCCAGCCCTCTTCAAATTCGGTGGACCTGCTCTTGTGTATGATTTACACGAGTTGCCAGTGGAAATTTTGGAACAAGAAACTGTCCCGACTGACTGGCGCCGCTCCATCGTTGTCCTAATTTTCAAGCGATGCTCCTGTTCCTAATGCGGTACTCATCAAGGGATCAGTCTAATCTCGATTGACTTTAAATTGCTTGCGTCTGTCATTCTTCACAGAATGACTGACAACCGTGAAATCCAGATCCTTGAAGAGCCAGCCGGGTTTCGTCGAGGTCGGGGCTACATCGACCACCTCTTCACCTTGCGTCAATTGTCATGTTTTTCGTTGTTGTTATTGTTATGTTTATTAGCGACACCCATTGTTGTCGCGTTTCTTGACATAAAGTGTCTTCCACTCAGTCGATCGA